GATGAGTCAAGACCTATAGTTCCAAGAAGTTCCTACCTAATAAAGGAGAATTTAGCATGAACAGGCACCAAAAGCTTGAGATGTTTCAATGTAACCGAGAACACTAACAAAAGGCTCCCAAAATTATGTATTTTGCTCAGTTTCTCAAATTTCAAATAGGTAAGCATCCATCGGTATTACAGCATGCTAAAAGTCAAAAATGCAAAGGATTTTTAGAACTGTTCATCCCTACTCCACCTGCACGGCAAGGGAATTGCTGACACAGTGCCCAGATACAAAAACTGCAAATGAAACTCCTCTGATTTCTGCTAGTGCTTAGGAAAAATAAACAATACACAACCCAACCTGACAGCATCACTGAACAAAATATACAAAAACTGTTATTTCAAGGCATATGCCTCCACAGGGAAGAAACTAAAAATTGGAACAGTTTTTTTTTTTTCTAAGGTATTAAAAATGGAAAATATGTCTTTCCACAGACCCAGACAGTGGTTTTAAGCCTGGCTTTATGTAACATCAGCCTCTCTGAAAGATCTGTCTGTAGACATATTCCCTATTAATTAGCAATTTAGTGGCCATCTGTGAAAAGGGATAAGCAAATATGTTTCGATTCTTTTAAAATGAAACTGAGGAGTTAATTGCTTTACTTCCCATAGTAACACTCATCCTTCTCTCCATATATACACATACACTCAATAAACAAAGTGAGGCAAAACCATGCAGGTCAGTTCACAGATGTGAAGACAGTTTACTTTGCAAAACTATAATTTACCATATGCTCAGAAAAAGCTGCTACATAGTAATATGAAGTATAAGCCTCCACAGAAAAGAAATCCTTAAAAGTACCCACTGGATACTTCATCTCTATTTTAAAATAATTTGTTCTTCCCAAACAGATGTGCATTATTTGAGGTCCATCATCAAGGGCATTTTTCACCTACCTATGTTCCCCTCTGGTGGAGCTGAGCAACAGACCACACATCCCCATGGTTATGAGTATGCCACAGTCCCTCACGAATCTAATTAGGGGTTGCACCTTCCCATCTCAAAATTACCAACAGTAAAACACTTTCTCCCTGAAAACTGCAGCCACAATGAGGTCAGTAGGACAGAGTGTGCAGTCATTATATTTGAGAGCACAAGAACATCTCCCTGCAGAAGGTGGCCCTGAAGCAGAGACCAGGGTTGCTGAGATAAAGCCATGCTTTCTTATACTCTGCCCAAAGTGTAAACCCAACCAAGAGAGTCAGCCCCCCAGGCTCAGTACCCACATACAGCTCAATCATCCCTTCCTGGGGGCTGTGCACCACTAACATGACATAACCACACTTCCTTCTACAAGCTACATACATTAAACTTTTTACTAGGTCAAAATTTGCACTCTAGTCAGTCAAAATTCCCAAGACAGCTTCACTAACATATCACTAAAATTTTATTTAAGAGTTATCTGGATTTATTATTTACCATAATGAAAGATTGAATAAAAAAAAATGGAAGTGGTCTTACCTACTTTTTTAAACAGTTACCTGACATCACAGCAAAGTACTATTACTAGTGGCCAATGGGTCTACAAAGAGTTAATGTAACACAAATGTATTTCTGCCACAGGATCAGCTTTACAGGCGGTGTCAGCAGCGAACAGAAGGGGATATATCAGTGGCTGAGCAGCAAAGAAACCCACATTTTGTCTTATATTAATTCCATCTCTCTGTGCATAAGCATACTAAACATACATGGAAGGACACTGTTATGAACTGCTTATGCTTTGAAATAACTCTAATATTCTGAGCCCTTCTGACACAAACATCCTGTTTGGGTGTCACCACAGTCCTCTGCTGACTGTACCAACAGCCTTTCAGATAGTTTGCTAGTGGATAAGACAGAAATGCATCTCTTAAAATCACTTGTTTACACAGTAACACCTCTCTGAAAACAGAGGCTCAACAAACAAGACTCCAAGATCAAAGAAAAAAGTATCATTGCTATTCACAACTTTCCTCTTCAGAAATTATTCAAGATACTCAGCCAGTAAACCAAAACAAAACTATAACCCAAGTTTGCTAGAAGCAAGGACCTGAAAGCCTTGCAAAGTCACACATGTTCACCTCCATCTCCATTTCAAGAAAACCCGTCTTATTAAAAATTTCCATCCTTTTTAAAGTAAAATTTTGCTGGAATCACTTAGAAATATTAATGTTGACTGTTATACTACTTTTTTTTTTTTTTTGATGACGCTGTAGTGGGAGTTTTGGAATCTCAAAACCAGTCTTGTTAACATATTGTCTTACTCAACCAAATAAAAATGGTAACATCCTCACAGAAAGTGATAGTGTTGTTTCCATTTCATACAAAAAAAATTTGTAAAATTCCTTTACTTATTTCATAGGACCATTTCAATACACAGGCATGCATTTTTGCCCAGACTATAGCTAGACATGTCAAAACCAAGATAAACTCACACAGTTCTTAAAGACTTATCCTCTAGCAGGGAAGAAGTTAATGGAGTAATATGTTGTGGTTGGACTTTAGCAAATCCCACCTATTTACAACTGAACTTTTAGACAGTCAAACACTTGGCTCTCTCTGCATCCTTCATGGAATGAAAATGCTATTCCCTCTGCTAATAAAAGATAGGAGTACCTCTTGAGAATGCATCATTAGATAGGAGCTAAAATAAAAACAGTGTTAATGGTAAAGTATGAATGAGAAATTATATACTCTTTCCTTTTATTAGTGGGCAGTAACACATTATCAGAATTGATTTGATATTGCTTATTTCTGATGCTTTGAGCATCCACAGCCCCTATTCATCCCATGCACAAATCTACATGATCTGACATCTGCAAAATGAGGACCATGGAACACGTAGCCACCAACTGTGTTATAAGTGAGTAGCTCAGATCATAACAAACATGTTACTTGGTCATGAACAAATATGAATTTTTCTGAGTGATGTACAAGAGCTTTACCCAAGAAACTTCTTTTCCGTCTCCCCAGATACACTTGCTTTGCACCTTTGTACCCAGATCAGACTAGATCAGATTAAATTCTTATAAAATCACCCTAGTTCAAGTTTGGATCAATGTTTGGGAGCTTAATTCTACACAATAAGGTCATTTTAACATAAAATTTTATAGCGGAAGAATGTCTATCAACAGCTAAGCTCTAAATAACTGCAAACAAACCTGTTTTGTTCCTCCCATCTAGAGGAGTGATCACAGCTCAAAACTTCAGCATGTTGAAAGCAATCAAGGCCCCATAAAACCCAGAGAAATAAACTCAAAGATTGGATCACTTAGTTGCCATTCCTGCAAACACATATTGTGAATAGTCCTAATGGTTTCCATGTAGTTGTCCACATGATAAAGGTGTTTAGATACACGGACAGTTACAGGGTTAGAAATGTAAGAAGTAATGTAAGAATGTACAGAAGTCCAAATACAAACAAAATTGTTTCCCTCAAATGTGACTGGATTAATGAAATTTAAAATTACCAGAACAAAATTAAAGTTAATTTGAGAATTCAAAGCAAATATCTATGAACATTAATTATGCATAAATTCAGTTTCTTTCTGCAACATTGTCATATGAAGAGTTTGGAACACGTATAACTCCAAAATACTCCCAGGTATATTTCTGACTTTATGAAGGCTATGTTCGTTCAGTATTCATAGTACTAAATAACAATACTGAATAACACTTGTTATTCTTGTTCTAGCTAGTGTTATGGTCATAACCCAATGAACAATAAACCAAAGATCAGGATATTTCCTGCTAAACTGGTACCTTCATCAGGAAATACATTTAGAAGCCTGTTTTGTGCTACACTGCTACATTGTCTAATGCACCTTCTCATAAGCAAACTGCACAATTTTATCCAGGTTTTATACCTATTTTCCTTCTGCTATGGGGGTGTTCTATTAGGATGATGAGACTCTAGGCACTGGAAAAATTAAACAAAATTAACAATTTTCATAGTTAAAATATCCCAATCCCTATGCAATCAAGGATGCTTGTCTTTATACTTCTTCTCACTAACCTTCAGCCTGCTTAACACTCACACATAATCTCAGTACTTGACTTCAGTGTTGCTGTAAAATGACACATCGCAATGAAAGGTTCATATTTCTACAACAGTACTGTGCTGCTAATTGAGTTTCATTATATTTTTGGGTTTCATTTGCTGCATAGCAAGGATTGACTTTCTCCTCCTCTGGAAGCAATATTACCATACAGAAGCTTGTGTCTTTCTCCATATAATTATAATCTCTTCCATGGACAAAGTACATTTTTTTTTTCCTTATTTTGGTTCCAATTCCACCCTTATCTAGAAAAATATGACCTAGTTTAGCAGTGGTCACCATATGGTACCTAACTCCAAGTAGCTCTCAAGGCACTTTGAGTGCATATCTCCACTGAAATGACAATATGGCCAAAAGCTGGACAGCTTGGCAATATGTATCCATTCTAACAAGGAAATGTGAGCCAGAGGTGCCTAAGGACAGCATCATCCCAGTTGCTTTAGGATCTGTCTGTATGCTCAGCTCACAGAGGAGTTTGTGGTTTCTAGAGAGCCCTTGTTCTCTCTCCCCGACAAGATGATGTTCCCTGACCTCCTCCCACGCACCAACCCATTTATCCAATATATACAGCTCTCAGACATACGAAGATTTTGCCACACGGCAAATTTAGGCACAAAGGTTGGTGCATTAATTTTTAACAGTTCAGGCTTTAAAGATTTTATGGTTTACTTAGAAGAGAATACTGAAAGGATGTGGACAGAATATTCCTTCCAAAATGACTGAATTTTGATAGTCACAACAACACTCCTACTTGTGATTTAAAACTAACTAGTAAGAGTGTAATACCTATATTGCCACCAAAAATATTTTTAACTGCATAATATTTGACACGATTCCAGATGTTCTCAAGAAATCAGTATTCATGATATGCAGCTATTTTGCATTGTGTGTGTGAGAGAGAGAATCTCTAATACTCACAGCCAATCATCATCATAGCAACAGCAAAGATCTTCTCCCCATCCGTAGTCGGAGCGATGTTCCCAAATCCAACACTGGTGAGGCTGGTCATTGTAAAATACAACGAGGAGATGTAGACCGAATCTTTGCTTGGTCCGCCTTCCCATTTCCCAAAGCCTGACGTGTTAAAGCGGTAAGGAGTTCCTATGGACGCCCCCAGCTGATACAGCCAGCTCTCAGTTCGGATGGTGTTCGTATCCTCATCGATAACTTCATAGTCTCCTATGCTGTACCAGATGCAGGCCAGCCAATGTGCAGCAAGACCAAACACACACACCAGCAGAACCAAGACTGCTGCTCCATACTCAATGTAGTGGTCCAACTTCCGAGCTACACGACCCAGCCGAAGCAGCCTGACCACTTTAAGTGAACTGAAGAGGCTACTGATGCCCTAGAAGGATAAAGCACAGTGACCATTAGAATCTAATATGAAAGCAACAATATTCATAACTGCAGTTTCCAAAGACACAAGGTGATCCATAATGAACAGCTGGTCACCAGGTAACACCTGAAAAGAGAGACTGAGAAATACAAGAAGGCTATTGACCCTTTCCAGGGATGTATATATGCACTCGTCTTCATCCACTAACATTCTATGAGTTTCGCTCTAAACTCCCTTTTCAGATTATTTGAATAGGTCTACAGATACATTTGTAAAAACTGCAAATCACAGGTTATCTTTTGCACATCCAGTTGTGCATTCCTATGCAGCACGTCAGATATAAAACACAGATTAAAATATGTAGCTCAGACATACCAGAAAGATAAATAAGGAGGGCCAAAAAATACTGCAAGTACCTGGAGATTTGTAATTTTTCAGTGTAACAATGTATATCCTACAACTTCACTTTCCTGTAAGAATTCATGCTCTGAAAATCAGTCCTCTGACATTTCTCACATGGACTACACAAAGTTTAACTATTTCAAATATCTCAATAATCTCCAAATCATATCCTTTTTCTGGCAGCTTTGGTATCAATGCAGCAGTTCTGTGCTAATAATAATATGTCTCCCATAAAACAGAATTAAGCCATTTTGTATTATTAACTTTTATACAGATTTGCACAAGAAGTTAAATAAAAAAATTTAAAGCCATTTGGGGCACAAGAAGCATCTGAAGAGCCTTTCATAAAAATCCTTTTTTTTTTTTCTTACTTCCTCTTACCAATACTGTTTCATACATAGAAGTCTGATTAAAATTTAAGCAGACTGGTTTAATGAGTATTTCTGGAAATGCATAATTGCATACTTCAGGTCACCAGCTTTTACTGGAAGTTTGTTTATTCCTGCATAAATACAACTGCCTCAGTATCTTAGGCTGTTTCAATGCACTAGAAGAGATGTTTTATTAAATAATTACATAAAGCATATTGACTCATGTTCCCCAGGACTGTAGCAATATATTTCCCCTTTATTTCATGAATTTGTCATGATTACATTCACTTATTTTCAGACAGATGTAATTTGTTACCTGGGAACACACTATCAATTCTATTAAGTATCTGGACAAGATGTAACACAACCAGGAGAGGGAAGTAAAAAAGAGAGAAAGAAAAGAAAAAAAAGAGCAAAAAGCACTCTTCCTTTAAATCAGATATTTGCAGAGATCCAGACAAGAGCAAGTGAACTATTCTTTTCATGACTATCTATGCCAAACTTTTCAAGTCAGTGATGCAAAAATTCCTACACAAAGTAAGTTAATTTCCATTTCGCATTCATTCCATACGCAGCTTTGTTTTGTAAACGTTGGAGCAAAGTCTCTGTGCCAGTTCAGAGAATACAACACAAAGGCTTTAATTTCGAGGTGAGGGAAAGTGGGTATTTCTGAACACTCAGTATGGAGAGGAAAAGCAAAGGGGAAAATACAAAAATTATAAATTATAACCATATTTTAGAATCGAATATGCAAGTCCCTGAGTCACAAGCACATATAGTACCTACATTCTAAACATTTTGGCATTACAACACAGCCTTCTGGCTTTTTTGCTTAAGACCAATGCCCATTTCTCCTTTACCTTTTTACAAACTTCAACAGTAAAACAGTAATTTTTTTATATTTTGAGAAGTCTCCAGCAATGGTCAGCTATTAGCTTCAGTCTCAAAACCAAGCTTTTTAATCACACAGTGCTTCAAAGTTTCAGGCAAGGGAAGGAACTTCTCTATCCCAACATTTGAAAAACTAATTTTATTTTTGTTCAGAAATAGTGGTGCAAAACCTGTTCTTCAACTAAAACTCATCATTGTGATTAAAAAAAAAAATGCTGTTTTTCAGTGAGAGTCCTACTAAAGTCAAAAACTTATAATGATTCAGGAAGGACTTAAGAGTTTAGAATTAGGCTAATTCTCAATTAAAAAAAAAAACCAAAAAAACCCCAAAAAACCCCAACCAACCAAACAAACCCAACCAACCACAAAAATGTTGAGGAGTTGAAATACCTGGGGAAAGGGGAAAAAAAAATCACGGAAGGGGAGTTTAAGAAATTGGATATAAAAAGTGGAAATACAAAATAAAATATGCAAAATTAGATTTAAAACATTCAAGGTAAACTACTTTGTTTCCAAGGTACTCTTATCCTAATTTCCCTTGTGAAATTTACTAAAAAAAATTTTGTTGAAAATACTTAAAATGGGATTGAACTGAGTCATTTGGGAGAAAGTGATTCTACCAAATTCTGACCAGAGAGATAGAGAGAATTAGGCTTTTTGTACAAAAAGAACTTGCATATTTGCAGAAAATATATACTTGATTTGGTTGCACTGAAAGTTGCAATTAATATTCACATTATTCATAATACTTCACCTGACTGCATTGCCAATAAGATTGTAAAAGTTCAGAAAAAGCTACATTAAAAAAATAATTTACTTTTATTTCAGCATTAACAGTACTTTCACTTTTATTTCCTTGGAGGAAAGGATTTGTCTATTCTAAATGGATCAATACCAAGATCAAGAAATGCCCAGGGATACGATTGTTCATATAACTCTCTTAAAAATTTCTAAGTGACAGAATTTCAAATGGGTATGAACAACAGAAACTTAACAGACTGTTTCATAGATGATAAAGTAGAAAAAAACCAGATCATTCTCCAAGACTTTAAAACAGTACTTTTTAACACTAGATTTACCAAGTTATATTTTAATACTCACTGGAATAGATCTGCTGTATTCAAAATGGACAATTTTAGATTACTACTCTCCAGAATAAAACTGCACTTTCAGATTGCTGTCCATCTTAATGCTCTTATCAGTGCAGATTATTTTTATGCTTTTATCATAGAGATGGCTCCACAATGTCACGCAAGGGAGCCTGAACTCAATTTACTTTTCTTGGTGTGTCCCACCCTCTTAGCTCTGCTGCTCCTATCAGCTTTGAGAGGTAGATGAAAAGACACCCAGCTCTCCTTCTTCCCAAAAGACATAGATGAACCTCAGTTCATAAAGAGTTAGAAATTGCACTACAGGTCCCAAACAGGCACCCCCAGATGCTCTGTTCTAAAGGACCACCATAAGGAATGTCTACTTGGCAGTCAAGGAAAGGACAGGACTATGGAACATCCCATGAAGATCTACCTGTGCCTGATTTACTCTGACACAGTTGCAACTATTAGTACTGTATCCAACAGAAACTTTCCCTTGAGGCTATGCAAAAGCTAAGAAATCTGTTATATGGCCAGAGTAGACACACAGTCCATTTGTATTGTATTTTGTTACAGAGAGAACCTATTTAAATATGCGGCATTTAGCAAAGTATTCAGAAAACGCTAAATTTCACACACAAATATATTTCAAATTGTATGAAGTTCAACTGAACGACACTAAAAAAATTCTACTGCTGATACCTTCATGGAAATGTAGATAAATATTTCATAGGTTGGCAGGTTTACTTTCACTGCCAGTGACGGCTGATGCATAAAAATGGAAGACTGGGTAGCGAGTCCCTCCAAACCAAAGGGCAAACTCAAAGCACTGAGACATGGAAGAAATAACTCTCTAGTCATTGACTGAGCAAATTTGAATGCCAAAAGCCCTCAAAATAATAAACACAACCACTCTGCCTCCACTCCTCCTACTCAATCTTTGCAGAGTGGAACTGCATCCCAAACACAACAGAAAAACAAACCAGTCTCAGTCCTAGAGGAAAGCAGGACCCGCATTTTACATTCAAAGAGAATGCTTCATAATTTTGTCCATGAAATACTGCCAAAAGTAAATTTCCATGTATAATTTGTCATTAATTAGACCTACTCATTACAGACCGTGCACATTTACACAGGTTTTCTTCTGTATCTCCTGGTTTTCTGCAAGATCCGATCTACTATCAGTGCACCCCTTGTCTTACACTGGTATATCAGCCATGTAAGTAATCTTCTTTCCAAACATGGGATCCAGGATATCCATATTTTGGCTCTAGCTCTGTATCAGACAACATAAGATTTGTGCCATTACTTCCATATCCAGAAAAAGAGATAGAGACACTGTGAAGTGTTTTTAAAAGAAGGGCTGTAAGGAGAGTAATTATTGTTACTTCTGTCATTATGGTCCCCAAGAACAGTAACAGTGGATACTACAGTATTTGCTGTGCAAATAAAAACCAGTTGCTGCTGTTCATTTGCCATGCAAAATTAAATTAAGCTCCATTAATCGAATAATAAAATTTCACCTAGAAAAAACAAAATATAAACTGTTTAAAGAACAGCAATAAAAACTAAGTGCAGCCCACCTCCCCCAACAAAAATAAAAAACAAGGAATAATTCATTTTCCCTTCCAAACAAGATGTAGGATGAACAACTTTAGAAAAGAACTAAAATGCAATGTTCACCTCCTACAGCTGCAGTAACACTAGTACTTTAGTAAAAGATTCAATCTGCATGACAGTATTTACTTTTTAGGCCATTATTCACTTTCTACATGCATGGAAAGAAAATGCACTTAACCCAAGCATTAAGATTTTTTTTTTTCTAGGCTCAAAGGAAGGATAATTTACTTCCTACTTACTATCTATTTTTAAACAGAGAAATATTCAATATTGGCACAAATCTTTCCTAAGTTTTTCAGCACTTTCCTCTCATATGAAACTGCTAAAGTTCAGGCTTCATCTTAATTAAAGGGAGATGCAGGAGACTAAAAGCTAACCATTAAAAGAGAGAGAATGAAACAGACCCAAAAAAATAAATTATTTATTCCAAAAAGGGAGGCAGTGAACCAAATTTATCACTACCGTAAGTGAGGCAATAGCCATGAAAAGTACTACCTTCTTTCTTGACATCTGATGCTGAAGTCAGCCATGCCACAGCCCAGCTCTGCCTATCTGCAGTAACATGGCAGCCCTGTCAGGCCATTATTAGGACTTCTCGTTTCTGTCATTTGCCTCTTCTGATTTTCTTAATTAG